GAGGCTCTATCTCAAAAAAAAAAAAAAAAAAAAAAAGAAAGAGCTTGTAGTGATGGTGTCACTGGCAGTAACCATGCACTGCACTTACAGTGTCTCCATCTCCAAGGACTGAGGCCACCGTAAGTGTAGTTCCCCACCCAGATCTCTGTACATGGCCCCTTTGCTAAGCAGAAGCTCAGCCACACACTGGCTAAGGTAGGAGGAATACACCAAGCCTTTCCTGTCTGCCTAAGCAGCTGGCAATAAGTGGTAGGCCACGTTGCTTGGCCAGTCATCTGGGTCACCGGGGAAACCAGTAGTAGAAAAAGGAATAGAAACACAGTGGGGCTGTGATGACTGATGGAGATCACTCTGTGTCAATACCTCCTGTAGAGTGCCAGCATAACCTCACAAATCTATGGTCCCTACAGTTTGCAATTCCCTCCTCCTTCCATCCAAGAATCCCTCATACCAGCCCTGTGAAGGATGGGACCTATGTGACAGATGTCACTATTTCCTTTCTACAAATGGGCAGTCTGATAAACTGCCCAGGGATACACAGCCAGCATGTAGTGTCGGGCTTGACCCAGTAAACAGACCCTGGATCTTGGATGTTCTCTAATTTGTCTTTCCAAAATGGTTTGGCAGGACATGGAACCTGATAATGGAGCCCCATGATGCTGGTTGACTCTCTGGCAGATCCATGTGAATGTACTTTTGCCACTGAATTGTATACTTAAAAATGGCTAAAATGGTAAATTCTGTCATATGTATTTTACTACAATAAAAAAAATTAAGAAAACTCCCAATGTTCTTTAATAAATGCTTAAGCATTTTGCAATTTTATTGAAGAGATCTGCGTTGAGGGAGAGCCAAAAAGGCCTGGGAATCATAAGGAGGTTGACAGAAAGGGAGAGACAAGCTGGAGCTTCTCTCCCCTCACTCCCACCTCTTGCCACTAGCAGCTCCAGGCTCTTACTCTAGCATTCATCAGGTCAGAAAGTCCCAGTGTCCCACCCCAGGAGGGGTGTCTCTCTGATACCCCAGCTTCTAGCCCCTTGGAGGCCTTTTCTCCTCACTTTCTGGGCTTAAGTTAAGCAGTCATAAGTTGGGAGTCCAGTCTCTGCAGCAGACTTGTTCTGTCTGGTAGAAAAGCCCTTTCCTTTTCTGGGCCTCAGTGTCCTTTACATGTGCAATGGGGGCTCAGGAGGCTTCCCAACTCTTCCTGCCTAAACACTACGTGATTCCCGTAGCACTGATATCTCATTTTCACCCTGTCTGGATTCTAGAAGAAACCCTGCTGCCCTGAAGGTCGAGCCTGCGGTGATCGCCTTAGTCAGCCCCAGGAGGCAAAGCCTGCGGGAGTTCAGAACCGCGCTTCGGTGCTGGGAGCAGCGGCGAGGTTACCTGGAGACCATTCCTTAGAAAAAAAAAAGAGAGGGCTGGTGGGGTGAGATGCGTCCTGGCACCAACGCCGAGGCAGCCCTCAGCAAGGGAACACAAACCCAGCTCCTGCATGCGACTGCCAGGTTACGCTGTGACGCTGGCAGGCTGCCAGGCTCATTTGCCAAATGAATAAACCAACCAAAGCAAATGGGCCACGTGGGGCGGGGCCCAAAGTGCAAGCAGGCGGCCTAAGTCGAGATCTAGGCCGGGGCGGGGCCTAGGGTGGGGCTTGTGGCCAAACCCGCGCGGCGGTGTCTCTGCGCGGCGAGTCAATACCCACGGGTGGCAGCGGCATGGCAGCGGAACAGCGGGGAAAAGCCGACACCCTGGCCCTGCGGCGGCGGCTGCTCAGGTACTCGGATGACGGCGGCGCGGGGCGGGGCAAGGCGGGGAGCGCACGCACGGCGCACGCGCGTTCACAGCAGAGCCCTCGGAGCCCCAGCCCCGCCCTGGCTTGACCGGGCTAGAACTCCGCTGGGGCCCGGAAGCTGGCGACGCGTGGCTGGGGAAGTCGGGCTCCGCGGCCTCCTCCTCAGCGCAGGGTCCTGTCGCCCTTCGGCTCCCTCTGCGTCTCAGGACCCCGCCCGCGCCGCTCTTCCGGCTCTCGCAGGCTCGCTGGGCAGCCTTTGCCTGCGGCAGAAGCCCTTTGCCCTGGCACCTAGGAGGGTGGTGGCCGGTCTGCATGACCTGGGAGTTACCGGAAAGGGGCTGAAAGTTTAGAGCAAGATTGGGGGTGGGGTAGTCATTTCTGGACAGCTTTAGAGAAAGTCTCCACGAGCGGCCGTGGGTGGGCCATGGAGGTCTGTGAGGCGGCCTCCCACCAGAACTCAGGGCGGGCACCTATTGGGGACAGCTGGTCAGGAGCCTTTAGGGCTGAGCGTCAGCCACCTAACGTGGGTGCCTTCCATCCCACCCATCCCAGCAAGCAAATGCAGCCTTACAGAACGCCCGCCGGTCTGGAGCAACCACCTTTTCCCAGGATCCAAGGGCCTGATGCAGGCACATGCAGAAATGAGCAAGGCCACAAAGGCATAACATGACTTAAGAAATGATTTTAAGTTTCAGCAACTTCTTAACCTCATCTGTTTCCTTATTCATAGCCACATGGGGACTAGAGAGACTGGAGGCAGGGAAGCACCACAATGCCCTTCAAGCTTTTGTCCTTTCCACAAACTAGGAAATGGGGGGAGAGGTCTGTGACGGGTGGACTTCTCCCTTCAGGCTTTCAGACATGGGTGTCTCCTCCTTGCCTGTCCCACAGCTCTTCTTGCAGACTCTTTTTCCCTGAGGATCCTGTTAAGGTTGTCTGGGGCCACGGGCAGTACATGTACGATGAACAGGGGGCAGAATACATCGATTGCATCAACAATGTGGCTCACGGTCAGTATCATACTTCAGGCTGGCAGGGTAGGAGAGAAGGCTGAAGCTGTGAACCTGGACCCAGGGTGTCCCTGAGGTTGCAGAGAAGTACAGAGAAGCTCAGTTGAGTTGAGGCATTTTCTTTGTGCACAGGAGGCCTGATACTTGTGATGTAGAAACCTCAAAGCCAGAGGCTGTGCTAAACCAGGCAGAAGTCAGAGATCTAGGTCTGTGGAGCCAGTTCCACTTGGGACTGATGATGAGCTCGGAGGGTGGCAAAGAGCCCAACTATGACCAACAAAACAGCAGGATGTCGGTGTCATGGCAGGCTTTAACCCCACTGATCATCTCAGGCTCTGGGCAAGGAAACTGAGATAGAGACTCCATCATCTGGGTGGAGCTGCCACAGCTGGTAGAAGGAAGGGGGGGCCCTGACTCAGCAAAGATGTAAAGCAGGGACTCTAGTCCCAGAATGCTTGAGCTCAGATCCCCAACCATGTAGTGACTTTGTGGTCTTGGACAAGTTGCTTAATTCTCTGTACCTCAGTTTGTTCATCTGTAAAATAGACATGATAATGCTAGGTACCTACCTCAAGGTGTTTGGGGGAATTGTGTTATTTCATGTACCTAACTTGTTTTGAATGTACCTGGCACGCGGTGAGCTCTGAATCCATGTCACTGTTAGCTTGGCCTCTGGCCTCTGGCTCCCGCTGAGGGGTGAAGTCAAACCCATTGACAATTACTTCCCACCCCCTACCTTTGTCAAGCAGAATTCTTTTTTTTTTTAATTTATTTATTTTATTGAATGGTAACTATGTACATTAATGCACTTCTGTCAAGCAGAATTCTTAGGGTGACCAGATTTTAACATCGTTAAGGCGGGACAACATGGCCGGAGGGCAGGGCAGGGGGCC